AGTTCCACTCTTTGATTCACTTCACTAATTATAATATATGCTAATTATTATTGCTAATAAATTTTGGTTACTTTCTTCCCCTATCTTCATTCAACTTAAGGGTCTCGATTTCCATGGTTTAAAAATTAAGGTTCTAAAAGTTTCCATCGAAACATACATAAAAAAATCATTTTTTAACATAGGGAGAAGAAATTCGATTGACAGTTTTGAAAAGTACGATGTATCTAGTTTGTTAAGGGTAGATCTAGAAGTTCGCTTACAGGTTCACGTGAAACTCTTGAAAAATCTACTTAAATATCTATAAATATTTGATCCTCAACTGAATTATTATTAGAGAATGAATTTGAATCGATGCAGAAAATCATAAATTTTAAGTTCTGAATTCACTTTTGTAGTTTGCAAGTTTCCAACTTTAGTTTTTCAAAAATATCAAAACAGTTTGACTGGATTATTTAGATAGAGATGGGGGAATCATACTGTTGGACTTTGGCCCAAAGTTTTGAAGTTATAGGCTTTTTTTTTGGAAGTCAATAAGCATTTTCTAGATTATTTTTTGGACAAATTACTTAACTACACTCCTTTACTTACCTTAATATCCATTTATCCCTACTTATTTCAAAATTTTCAAAAATTCCTTATTTACCTATGTATCCCGCATGTATCCCGTGCACAACGCTATGTATCGCGCAAACATCATTTTTAAGGGATTTTTGGTAAATAGAAAACTAGAAGGGATAAGATGTTATTTAGTACTTATAATATGTGGTTCCTATAATTTATACTTATTTTTTTCCCGCAAATTTACCACTAGACAATGTCTAGTGGCCTTTTATTAAACATAAAACATATCAATAGGGATAAGTGCAAGCAAGGGGGGCCTAGGCATTTTCTCGATTTGAAATTGCATTATGGATAAATAAAAGTGAACGAACAGAGTAATAATATAATTGATCTATATTTGATCAAGAATTGCACTTAATAGTACATTCCAAGTATCAGCAACACCAGCAATACACCAATGTGTGCAATCCACATATCTATGTCCACCAAATCCATAAACTGATGGATGACCATCTACTCTATATTGTGACAACTTTGTTACATTCAACAAATGAACTGATTTATTCATCCCTCTCAATACTTTCTCCAACACTATTTCTCCAGGATGTTGTCCTTGTGTACTCTCCGACGGTCGCGTTGCTCCGGTACAACTAATTTTATAACCAAATAAATATACTGTCAGTGTATAAAACTTAAACATTAAAAGATGTCACGTAAATTGAGACGTGTGTTGAACTTACTTGTCATGGTCAGGAGAAACTCCTTGGAAAAATATTTTGGTTTTTGTGGTGTCTACTTTAGTGTCCACCCATTTTGCCCAAGTATTCAATGCTTTCTCATATAGAGTTACACGATTTGCATCTTTGTATGTAGAGTTTCCTTCTTGCACAAAACCCCAACTACAAAAACAATAATAAACTTATAATCACAATATGTTCTATGTACCGACAATGTAAAACATATATTTATAAACTTATGTTACATATAAGATAATGTTGAATAAATTTAATATCTTTATTGATTGGTATGATAACTAACGTGCTATTACATGTTAAAATACGAGAACTTACGGTTGTTTTCTACCGGTGTGAAACCACCAATGCCAAGTATCAAAAACGAGGACATCCATTTCTTCCCATTGAGCCGCGGAACTGAGAGAATCGAGCTCTAAAACTCGGGTTCCATTCTTCATTTTGACAATGTCTACTAGAAAAACATTTCGAGATACCAGGTAGGACGTGCCGTATTTCTGTAAAGAGTAGGATACAAAAGTTTATTTATATATAATGAAAAGCCCTATTTTGAAAATGTATTTCAACAAGAAGTTTAAATAAGTCGACTTATATTTTCATAGGCAAAATTTAACGTTACAAAAAACGTACGTACCGGAAATGTGAAGAAAGAGGTGGATCCATTCCTCTTGGAGATATATTTAGCTTGTGGATCAGCTGCATAAAGCATACAAGTGAGAGATTGCCATTGATCCACACTTAGTGAATCTCCTACAAACATCACCCTCTTCCCCTTTAATTTGTGCTGAAAATGTGTAGCATTAAACCTATACACAAATGAACATACATGACATTAAGGGCAAAATTAGTCCTTTATGAATAAGGAAAATTGATTTTTTTTCTAATAAAAGAAAGGAAAATAAGTTTTGTGGTTGACATTTCATAAAAGGTGTTAAATAAGTATGTTGAGTTTGGACGAGTCAAAATTGATTGAGTTAAAAAATCTGAATGGTTATTGACTCCACCCAAAAGCTAGTTGGACTGAAATGAGCTAAAATATATAGAGCATAACTCAACCGTCCAATAAAACTATTTTTTCTTTATTACAGTAATATTATATCAAATAAAATAAATCTTGTTGAATTTTTTTATGGGTGAATTTGGATTACCTATCAATACAATATTTTATGAGCTGAAATGGACGAGTCAATAACCCACCCAAACATGAATACGTTCTGTTTTCACGAGCTAATTTGCCACCTCTCTTCTCCCGCCTCATCACCCCACCTACCCTCACTCCCCACCCTACCTCCCACTAGAAATTACCCCTCTCATCCACCTTGACCTATCCAACCCCCACCATCGAGCCCACCTCGATCTCTTCCCCTACCTCGAGTCCCCAACCACCCTTTCATCATAGTGTTTTCCTTGATTATATATAAATATCTGGGACAAAACTTTCTGCCTACTCCCCAACATAATAAAAAAAGGCAAGAAAAATACATTTATTTTTCTAAAATACACATTTCCCTTCCTGTCAACCACACCCTAATTAAGTGTTCCAATAAAAATAAAAAATAACTAAATTAAGTACATAAACACAAATCAAAAACTAAAAACAAGAACAACATAGATTTTAAAAAAAATGTACCTAGGTAAATTGCACCCATGGGGTTGCCATCTATATTTGAGATAATCTCTATCTTGCCTTCCATTATTTAAACAATTAAATTGTTTTTCAATAAATGGACAAACAGATGAATCATAAAGAGGATAATCATCATCATAAACCCAATTCCCTTGGAATAAATCACAATCATTCATTCCCAATTTGTTCACATCATTCATCAATTTCCCATCTACATTTTTCAACATGAAAACAATAAAAAATAATACTAGAGAAAAACTAGCCATCATTATAAGACAAGCCAAAAAGTAAAAAATAAAAAGCTTTAGTCTCTTTTTATTTGTGTCTATTTGATACTTAGAAGGGTCCTATATATAAAAATTTTCTAAAAAAAGAATCAATAAGAAAAAGGGCATTAATTATTTTCTTTAATTACTAGCCATTAATAAAATATCCAAATAAAGAAAATGAGTAATTTTATTAAAGAAAAAGGAAGTAAAAACAAAAAGACGGTGGAAATAATAAGTAGATTAATGTAATCAAATTGGGAATTATGTAAACATAAAGTGCATGATATATGTTGGTTAGTAGTTTACAAGTAGTAGATGTGATAAATATTGGAGTATATAATAAATATCTTGAATCACAAAAAGATTTAGTTAAAACTACTAATCTATTAGAATGAATTTTCTCTATTTTCAATTTTCATGTCCTTGATTCAAATCGATAACAAGAAAGAAACTCAAAGAAAACAAAGGAAATGATCTAGATAACGTGGAGCAATTTAAAGTCTTGATTAGAATTAAAGAGAATTGAATTGTGGCTGACTAATTTCTTTTCCAATTGTATATAAAAATTAATTCTGGAAGTTTCTCCTCACGCGCTTAGCATGTTGGAGAGTAACATTTGTTAGATCGATTGTTGAATGTGTACAAATAATAGTAAGACAAATGTATCTCAGTATTTTTATTTTCGCATACAATACTTGTACAAATATTGAATTTTGATTCAATACAATCATCAAAACAAAAAAAATCAAGTATTTTCTCTACATTCTTTTATGGTATCAGAGCAATAGATCGATCCAAATTTTTACAATCATTTCATTTAAATTTCATAGCCTTTCAAAACAAATTATCTATAGTACAAATTTCGCATAATTGAATACACTTTTGTACTATTGAAAACAATCCTTTTGACAAAAAATAATTATTATTTTTCCATTACATTTCTAAATTTATGCCTTGCAAATTTAAGCTATATATAAGGATAATTTGATTCATAGTTTTTCATTAAATGAGCATAAGAAATAAAAATTGAAGACCATCATATTTGAAGGAATTTTTTTTAAAGATCACAGTAAAAAGCCAATCCTTGCAAAAACTTGGTTTTCAACTACTGGCAAAGTTAAGAATTTTATCACAAGTGTTTTAAAATTTAAAATTTACATTAAAATTAATTTTAAATTTTTATATATAATATAAATTTTATCGAAGAATTTTCGACTGATCATCCTTCACTATATTGTATATTGTGTCTTCAAAAAACAAAGAACTCGAAACACGTTTACATAAAGTTAATCGAACAAATATTTTTACACATGCCCTGACATGTCAATCAAGAAACACAAAATACAAACAAATCTTTCATTTCTATGGAAAAAAAAACCACAAACCACCTTATATATAATTACAAAAATTTAAGTAATTACATGATTTAAGATAATATAATCTTTAAAAAACTCTACCATTTGAAGTTATTACAAAATTTCTCTTTTAATTTTCCTTCTCTCTAGCTCTTAACATTTAGATACATCACTGCACCTTTATCAGATACATTACAATTTTGTTTGTCTACAATGTATCTGGTATTAATGTTATTGTTGATACATAATCTCACTTATTTTAAACATAAATAAGTATGAATCTGATTTATAGTTATGTATCTGATACATAACATATATATTTAATACATAACTTATGTATCATTTGCTATGTAGTAATGTATTTGCGAGTTCTGAAAATTTTGGAATTATTATAATTTGAAAAACTTTCGAAATAGGATGTAAGTAGCGCTCAAACGGTTGGAGTTTCTCTACTTTATACATAAATAATTAACATATGATGAAGATATTAATATTGGACCATCACTAGACATAATAATATAAAATATTATTAATGTTTTGATTAATTATCCAAGAAGTGCACTTAAGAGTAAATTCCAAGTATCAACAACACCAGCCAAACACCAATGTGTACAATCCAAGTCCCTATGTCCACCATGCCCAAAAACTGAAGGATGACCATCTGCTCTATATTGTGACAAATTTGTTATATTCAATAAATAAACTGGTTTATTCATCCCTTTCAATACTTTCTCTAGTACCAATTCTTCTTCATGAACTCCTATTGTACTCTTCAATGGTTGCGTTATGCCTTGACACCTGTTTGAACCTGAGATCCCAGGGCTAATTTTGAAATTAAGTATTATTCGTTAGTGTATAGAACTTAGACGTCTATTATATATTATTTCGCGATAAATAGTATAGTATAATTATAAGTATAACTATTTGTTGAACTTACTTGTTGTCATGGTCAGGAGAAATTCCTTGGAAAAATATTTTGGTTTTTGTGGTGTCTACTTCAGAATCTACCCATTTTGCCCATGTATTGAGTGCTTTTTCATATAGAGTTAGACGAGGTGCATCTTTATATGTAGAGTTTACATCTTGAACAAAATCCCAACTGCAAAATTAAAGTAGACCATATATAAGAACATGACATAGTAAAAAGACTTAAATTTTCAAGGTATATATTATGAGTTAGGTTGATTTGAAGTCGAAATTTTATTTCAGTACTAAAAAAATCACTATTTGTCATTGTTATTTTTCACTAAAAAGTGTTCAGTGTTATTCCCATAGATAATTTGATTGAATTAGTAAGAAAACAAAAAAAAAATAGTAGTATTTTCACAAGGAAAAATTAGAAAGCTTCCCAACATTTCAGAGAGAATCTGTTTTTCATCTTTCTAGTGGGCTAGTTCAGTGGGAAAATCATGTTTTATAATATAAATTTCTCATGGATTCGTGATGAAAAAAATATTTGTTTCTAATAGTGTTTGAACATGCAATTTTATTTCTTAAATTGTATTTTTTCTCGTAAACATAAAAAATCGCACAATTTGTTCAAATTATGAGAACTTCCCTACAAATTAAAGTTAAATTCATAGAACTTAAATACTGAACTTGCCTTTACCCATCTCAAGTAATATATATACTTGAGTTGGTTAATAACCCGTCTGTATATTAACTCATTCTATTAACCTACCCAAATCAAGCTCAACACATTTATTCGACACACATTAGTAACCGTCTTATATAAAAAATATTGATGAAATAGTCGATCTAGCTCGTTATAAATATAATTAGATGATGACTTACGGTTGTTTTCTTCCAGTATGAAGCCACCAATGCCAAGAATCAAATATAAGAACATCCATTTCTTTCCATTGAGCTGCAGAGCTTAGAGAATCCAGCTCTAAAACTCTAGCTCCATTGTTCTCCGTTTTAATGTCTACCAGAAAAGCATTTCGGTACATCAAATACGACGTGTTGTACTTCTGCATTAACGTGTTCAAGATTTAATATATATGTCAGTGATCGAGAATTGATCTATTCATAGAGTAATATGATGTATAGTCAATGTCGGATTTATTCTATTTCATTATTTATGACAAGCATATACTTGTCATGTTTCACTCTCAAGAGTGAATTTGACTAATTATCATGGTGAAAACGTACTGTAACTTATGATATTGTTGGTCAAAATGTATGTAATTTGACTTTTGAGAAGCAAAATGTGACGAGTATTTTGAGACGGAATGTACCGGGAAAGTGAAGATAGAAGTGCCTCCAATCCTTTTGGAGATGTATTTAGCTTGTGGATCAGCAGCATGAAGCATACAAGTTAGAGATTGCCATTGATTTAGGCTTATTGAATCTCCTACAAACATCATTTGCTTCCCCTTAAATTTCTTTTGAAATTCTGTAGCATCAAACCTACCAAAAAATTAAAATAAAATTAAGGACAATAATATATTTAATTTGCAATTAGACGACAAGCTCGTATATAAAAAGTGAAGTTGTGTTTGAACATGAACTTTACTATAAAAAAAAAATTATGAGTGAAAAAAGGAAATTGTTCAAAATTTATAAACAAACAATATTTTTTTTTGGAAAAGAAATAAGAATAAAAAATTCTACGTCCAAATGACTATTATAAATTTCTAATAAGACCAAAGACTTCTAACAAAGTGCATCTCTTTTTAAATTTTTTTTCCAAAGGATTAACTGCAGGCGTTATCGCTACAACCTCTGCTACATGCTCTATTCTTCGGGTGAGCACCTTATGGTGAGAACTTTTACTACAAGAAAAGGGTAATTACATGGAAATTTTTCTGAGGATTAGTATAAAAATTTGCAGGAAAATAAGTTTCCTGCGGATTTTCATACTAATCCCTAGAAAAATCCTCATGTAATTCACACTTTTCATGTAGTGTTTGTGCACATTGGGTAAATCTTCTACCGTGTAATAACTTACAAACCACAATGTAAATCGCACTAGATAAGCCCTATACAACAAGCTCGACTCAGAAGACATTGAGGGGATAAATCTCGGATCATCCATGTGGACAACCATCCTTTAAACCAACTGAGCCGCCCCGATGACAAAGTGCATCTTTTCCCCTAAAGAATTCGGATGTTCATTTGACATTTTATTTTATAAATATATCTTTTCCTTTCTTAATTTCATTATCTTAACTGAATAAACAAATAATTAAATCAAATAAACCAGACAATTTGCAATTGCACATGATCAGCCAGCTTGGAAAATCTTAAACAATATTAAAGTGTTTAATTTGATTTGCTTATATTGTTTTCTAGCTTTTGTCCAAAAAAATTCAACTGTCTTCTATCTGCCCAAGTGATAAAAAGTTGCCATTATGTGACATGTGAAATGTGATAATTTCAGATTTTTTATTTAATTAAGAAAATCCCAAACTTGGAAATAAACTCTCTTTAAAGTCTAAACACTCGTAACAAACTAGCCAAAAAAATGCAAACTAAAGAAAAACCAAAAATAGAATGTCCACAAGTCTCATGATTTTTCTCAATTAAGAACTTATTTACTTATGATTAATCTTAGAAAAATGAGAAAAACTTTTTCAATAATAGTATTGCAAAGAAGACGTTATATCATGATTTTTTTTAGACACATTTGGTTATAAAGTATGAAATTAAATTTCAGAATTTTCAAGATTTTGAAAAACAATAATCACTTAAAATTACTCACAAAAATTCAAAAACAACTCCAATATGTAATCATGACTAAACACAACTAAATTTTCTACTATCATTTTTTAAAATTGATTTTTTTTTTCAAATTTCACAATAAAACCTAGCGAAAAAAGCTTATAGGAAAAGTGGATAAGATGTATCTATCGAGCAATCCCATCCAGCAATTAATTAAAAGCATGCACGTTATTTTCCAATTAGCTAGCAATGATCCCCAAAGTTGATGAATCCAAACACATTTGGTCCTACAATCTTGTGACTTTTTTAAAAAATATTCTTTTAAAAAAAAATATATTTAAAAACAAATACTAGAAACGTACATACGTCTGAACTCTGATGGAGTAAGTTTAAAAAAAAAGAAAAAAGAAGAGAAGAGTAATTAATAATTTTTTCTTTAAAAAAAAACAGAAAATAAAGAAGACAAACAAACAGTCACGGGTTAAAACTTAAAACGTTTCCACTCTAAAATTTGGAAGTTGTGCAGACAGCTAAGTAGAAAAACAAAGGCAAAACATAAAACATAACCCTACCCTCCAGTCTCATTTTAACTGTCGTTTTAATTTTTTTTCTACATTTTTATTTATTGATTTAACATAAAAATTTGGTGGGGATAAATTTTTATTGTACCAATACTATACAACAATAACAATCGTAATAACACGGTACATGTAAGGTCTGAGAAAGGTAAAATACACGTACAATAACAATCGTGGTAAGTACAATCAACATGATCCAACAAGTAGGGTCTGAGAAAGGTAGAGTACACGTACAATAACAATAATAATTGTAATAACACAGTTAATATTATCGAACAAGTAAGATTTGGAAAAGATAGAATACACAGTACGTAGACCTTATAATAAGAAGAAAAAAAAGAAGAAATGAAACATATAATTAAAGAACATAAGAGTATACCTGGGTAAATTGCACTCATTGGGTTGCCATCTATATTTAAGATAATCTTTATCTACCCTTCCATTCTTCAAACAATCAAATTGTTTTTCAATAAATGGACAAATAGATGAATTATAAAGAGGATAATCATCATCATAAACCCAATTCCCTTTGAATAAATCACAGCTGTTGATTTCCAATTGGTTAAAATCATTGATTAATTTCCCATATACATTATAATTGCTCAACAATATGGAAAGAAGAAGCAATAGAGAAAACATGATTATTTTTTCTTTTTGTTGAATTATTTCTCCTTACTTTTTTTTTTGTCTTCAAAAAATGTGAGGAGAAAATAATATATAATAAAGTGATAGATGTAGAGAATCCTATATATATACATGTAAAATAATTACAATAATTAATGTGAGAAAGAGAAGACAGAAAGAATTAAAGAAATGCCAAGAATGTGATAAAGAAATTTAAGTATGAAAAAAGAAAGGTTCACATGTTAGTCAGAGTGACACTTTTACCAACAATTAAACGTGGGTCGTAGTGGAATGATTTGAAAATTTTTTATTATTTAATTAGAGATCTTGAATTTGAGTGTCTAGGAGTGAAAATCTACCTATTTGTAAAGTTGTCCCTAGAAATATATAGCTCTTGCAATGAGAAAATTTAATTTTAATTGAATCTTAATATGAGTATCGGACAACAGATGAAAAAGCAAAAGAAAAGAAAGAAATGATACTTTTACCAACATGGGTCGCAGTGAAATGGTTCGAGATCCTTTTATCATTTAATCAAAGGTCTCAGGTTTAGTCTACAAAAATGAAAATGAAAATATCCTATTAGTAAAGTTGTTCCTAAAATATATAGTTTTTACAATGCATGAATTTAAATTCAGTCGAACTTCAATACAAATGTCGGACTAAAATAAAAAGAAAAGATACTTTTGATCCTAATTAACAGTACCTAACTTAGCACATAGACTAGTAGCTTTCTTGATGGAAAAAAAAGGTTAGTAGTTTTTGTTTATTAATAACCAATTAAGAAAATAGGTAACAAAGAAAGATGATGGGTAAAGAGGAAAATAGAATGGAATGAATTTAAAGCTATTGTATCTAATAACTATAAATCTAAGTATGAAAAAAGAAAGGCTCGTTAGTTAGAGTGACACTTTCACCAACAATTCAGCGTGGGTCGCAATGGAATGGTTCAATATTTTTTTATTCTTTAATTAGCACGTTTGAATTTGAGTCTTTGGGAATGAAAATATTCCTATTTGTAAAGTTATCCCTACAAATATATAGCTCTTACAATAAGAAAATTTAAATTTAGTTGAATTTCAATACGAGTATCGGACAACAGATGAAAAAGCAAAAGAAAAGAAAAAGACCAATGCTTTTCCCATCATGGATTGCAATGGAATGACTCAAGATCCTTTTATCCTTTGATCAGATGTCTCATGTTCGAGTCTCCTAGAATAAAAATATCCTATTAGTAAAATTGTTTTTAGAAATGCGCCAAAATGATATAATTTAGCACATAGACTAGTAGTTTTCTTGATGGATAAAAAGGCTAGTAGGTTTTGTTTATTAATAACCATATTAAGAATATGTGTAACAAAAAAAGATGATGGCTAAAGAGGAAAAGATAATGGAATGAATTTAAAACTATAGTATCTAATTATTATTATTACTTATGTATATAAAGAGAAAGTGCATGATAGATGATGTACTATGATTTGTTAGTAATTCTACCTATTAGAAGAATGAATTAGTTTTTGAAAAATCCTTTCAAAGACCAAATATTTTTAAAATTATTTTGTGTTGTCCTCCAGTTAATTACCATATCTCAAATAGATAATTCTTATACGTTTATTAGGAAATGAGGAATCGAATACGATTTGATGTTTAAACTTTTCCCCAAAAGAGAAACAAAAATAACTTTAACTCATAAATTTAGCAATCATCCAAGAAATTAACTCGCTATTATTGAGTACTATTCCAATGCTCTAAAATCCCCCAACAATGTCACAGACTATTTGCTTAATAGTTTGCTACTCGAAATTTACACCTATGAACAAAGGCTTGTGTATAAAACTTTCCCTCATTCTGTTACATTTATTGATTTGATATAAAACACACAGCGCAGTTAAGTTTTTTCCTACGACAGGGTGTATCAACACAACAGTATCATTTTTTGTTTGGTTAAGTCGTTAGCAAGTAAATTTGGAGACTGATTCAGTCTCTCAGTCCCTCCAAAAACTGAAGAAAACAAACACTCCTGGATAACTCATTCATGAACAGACAGTAAATTTAGAAATCCTTAAACATGTAACGATAACAAACTAATCAAAACATCCATCCAAGCAATGTTCACGTTCGGAAATAGACGTTATAGCAAGGTAAAACAGAGAGTTATAATACCACATAAATGTCTCTTTCGCGCTTGTCAATTTGATTCTTCTAAGCCAGAGATCAAGATCAGCTTAAATCTTTGTAGACGATTTCTGCTTTAGGTGATGCATGCGGAAAATTTGAGATCTCAGTGAATATTTCTTCTCTTGTGTCGAGAGGCTCCTCATCTAGAAACTGTCGATTGATAACCAGTCTCTCTAACACCGGGGAGTTGGCTAACAAATGCTTGATAAACTGCATCTCGGATGTCCTTCCTATAAAGCTTCCTAGCTGAACTTCCTCAAGGTGATTAAATGTCAGGTCTGACAAAGTTTCGGGTTCAAGGGATTCTTCGGTAGATTCTTCATCAGTATCACTATCATTGTCATCACAAACCTAAGAAAGACAACAAGAAGTTGACTATCAGATTATTGAAGATAAAAAAAGTACGGCAAATAACCACTAAATAAGATTAAAAAATGCCAAAGCACTACAAACCTGCATTTCGAGATATTCCAAATATGGGAAGCTTCTTATTAAGCAAAGAACATATGAAAGCTTATATGATTCCACAAGTAAAATGTCGGGCAGGTCAAATCGTCTGACATTGTTAAGATTAAATGGAAGCCTTGTTGGTACTTTATATCCTTCTTCAGCAACGAACTAAAAAAAAATTACATATATTCAAGATTAAGTCAGCCCAAATGATATTCCATCCGTTAAAGTGTATAACAATGAAGACAGGGAGAAACATTTACCTCCGAATTTAAGAAGTTCAAGCTGAGGTCCTCGAGAGCAGAACAAGACTCGAAAATCTTTGCAAAATCAAGACTCTCTGCCTGCTCAATGTCACCTAGCAGAGATGCTTCTACCAGACGAGGGACATTCTTTAGGCAGATAGAACTTATATCGCCTGTGAAACTGAACAATCTCAGCATAGGAGCATTAATTTCAATCCTGTCTAAATCTTCTGAGGTAGACAGCACCAATTGCTCAAGCAAGGGGCAATGAGATATCAAACTTTCCAGCAATTCAGAAGAAGTTGAGACTCCACATAGTTCCAGGCTGATTAACTTATCAAATCCTTCAAAGGCAGATGGATGATAAATTGAACAAGAACGGAGATTTAGATGTCTCAGCTGCGAACATGTGAAAAGTATAGATGACAATGTGTATCGCTTTCCAAATGGAAGGTGCAGAACAAGATCTTGAATATGATTCCTGAGGAAAAATATGAAGTTGTCAATTTCAGGACACCTTTTTAGATGAACGATGTTGAGGGTAAACTTAGTAACGGGCCCTTCGTGAAGGGTCAAGAGCTGGTAGATGATCTCCCTAAATCTAACTGTAGGGTTTAGTAAATCCTCTCTGGTTTTCCATAGAGATTCATCAAGGGTCAACTCCGTACGTCTACACCAGTGATACCTCCATTTCTTTGATAAAACACTTGTCCTCACAGCATCTTTGCAAGGCAAATGTATCAGAATGACGTCGATTACATTATGGGGAAGATTGCTAAGGATGTCGGGCCTTAAACTTTGGCAACGCTCTCTTCCCTTGGGAGGCATCATAAACCACTAAGAACCTGTATAAATAAACAACAATATGAGGTAAGGAATCTCCAAGCTATTTGGACAATGCTCAAACAATCTCCAAATTATCTGGACGGAATTACTATTCACTCTGTCAAATCAACACAAGAACACAAGGAGTACTTAAAACAATAATCACCAAGAACCTGCAGAAAATTAATAATAATATGAAGCATGGAATCCTCAAACTATCTAGATAAGATATAAAGGTGCATTGTCATTGACATCATCAACTGCTTCCTGTTAAAATCAATGTTACATTTAACTTGACTTGAGATGCCAAGTGGCATACACAGAAGTATTAGTAAGTGGAATATTTAAATAAGTGAAAAAGCACAACAAATCATCTTAACACATCATACAAGAACACATGATTCAAATCATACTCAAGAAACTATCGAGGATCGAAATGACTTAATTGACCATAAAAGATTGATAAACCCCAAATTACTTCATAGGAAAAGGTAGGGGTGTGGCCATTCCCGGACCTTGCGCTTTGTGCATCAGGCTTCCTTTTGTTTCATAGAACTTAACACACAGAAAAACAATGGATGTTTTAACTCATAAAATCTGCTCATTTTAAGTATTAAAAAATAAACATAAGAAGCAGTTTTTTTTGCTTGATATAGAACGTCTTATCAGTAGCTTTACTAGCATAAAAATTTGCAAACACTAAAGAATATAGATAACTTAAGCATAACACTAACCCCAAAAGGAAAAGTAATGATTTTTCTACCTCCACGAGATAGTGGTAAGGTCTGCATACACTCTACCCTCCCCATACCCCACTTAGTGGGATTTCACTAGGTATGTTGTTGTTGTTGAGTGCTTCAGTTGTAGGGCACTATTTGGACTCTTCAATTGGTTTGAAAAAAGTAAAAATCAATACAGAACTAAAATTGAATTCGGTTTGACAAAAGTAGAAATAAATACTAGACATTCTAGGAGAAAAACTTGGTCACTTGGAGAAGCAAAGAGTAATAGCTAGATAAGATACAACATGTCTACTGTGGAAGTGAGATTCTTTTCTCCCATGAACAGGATTCAGACGGGAATCATCTCTCTCCATTTCTCTTCATCCTTGTTATGGAGGGTCTTAGTTGCATGTTTGAGAAAGCCAAACAGAGACGGTGGTTGGAGGGTTTTAGGGCTGGAATCAATAGTGAGACTCTTATGTCCATCTCACACCTATCATTTGCAGATAGCACACTTATTTTTTGTGGTGCTAAAGGGTGAAGGAGAGATATAAATACACAAATCGTAGTGATAATCAAGACTTCAAATGGCCTTGGAAGCAAATCTGGAGAATCAAAGTGCCATGCAAAGTGGCATGCTTCACCTGGCTGCTAGCCAATGAAGCAGTTTTGACATTGGACAATGTGTCCAAGAGAGGTATCTCTCTATGCAACAGATGCTCCCTATGAGGTAAGGATACAAAGACAGTTAGACACCTCTTTCTACTTTGCAATTTCACTGACCAACTAGATTTTCCTTAATCTCAGAGGCACTTCCTGGAGTTTTCCTAGTAAGATTGATGAGACTCTTTTCAGTTGGAAGGAGGCTGAAGTTGGGGCTACAAAGAAAGAAAGATGGAGGATGGTCCCTGCTTGTATCTGATATTATGATGGACTATATGGAGAGAGAGAAACGAGATGTTTTGAAAATAGGAACAACAACTGCACGAAGTCAAGCTTAAATGTATTTTATTGTTCTGTATTTGGTGTACAAATGTCTACTCCAATGAGACTGAGTTAATCATAGATGTTTTAGAGGTCCATCAAGATTTTGGTTCAGTTTTGGGGAAGATTAAACTTCTTTTTCTTCTTATTTGTAAATATGATTTTTCAGTACTACCTAAGTGCTGACTTAAATACAAATGTTGCCAGTGTAAAAAAAAAACCACAAGTTCTCTACCTTAACCTCACCCTTATAATTTTTGAAGTATTGTCAGGCCTTCATATTAACATGTTGAAAGTGTTATTTATCTTGTTAATGTGGTGCCAAATTTGGTGGAGCTGGCTGATATTATGGAGTGCACTATTGGCAATTTCGCAACAACCTATTTGGGACTACCTTTGGGAGCCAAACACAAAGCAACTGAAATATGGAATGCGGTTATTGAGAAATTTGAGAAAAGACTAGCTACATGGCAAAAAAGGTACCTTTCTCTAGGAGGAAGATTGACTCTAATAAACAGTGTTTTGGGTAGCATCCCAACAGATTTCATGTCTCTTCCCAATATTTGAAAAAGTCTTGAAGCGTCTAGATAAAATCCGGAGAGACTTTTTATGGGAAGGCAACTGTGAATCTCACAAATTACACTTTGTGAAGGGGCCAAAAGTCACTCTTCCCAACATCTTGGTGGCCTTGGTATCAAAGATCTTGCTATACGTAGCAAGTGTATGCTTATGAAGTGGTATTGGAGGTTCATTCAGAAGGATGCTGGTCTGTGGAAAAAGGTAATTGTGGCTAAGCATAGCAGTAACACTCAATAGTGTACAGAACAATCAACACTTCCCTAGGTAACTGGATTATGGAAGGCCATTTAATACCTTGTGCGGTAGCTTTTTCAAACAAACTCACTTTGAGGTAGGGAATGGGATCCATATCAAATTCTGGCTAGACAAGTGGACAGGAGATTCCACTTTGAAAGAAGCCTTCCCAAATATATTTAACATTGTCAGACATCCTCATTAATCTATTGCTCAGAACAGGGATGACAACTCATGGAACCTGAACCTAAGAAGTAATTAGCAAGATTGGGAATTTGAAGAGTTATTGAATCTGCTCAAAAGCTTGGAGAACTGCAACATTAACATTCAGAGCAGTGATAAGTTAAAATGGGGCTTCAACAAAAAAAGTTTATACGTAGTCAAGGTAGGATGTGAACACTTGAACTCCAATAAGATGACAATAGATCAATGGCCCTGGAAATTAGTCTGGAAGCCTAAACTCCCCCCTAAAGTCTCATGTTTTACTTGGACAGCCTTAAAAGAAGCATGCCTCACTCAAGACAATCTTATGAGAAGAAGATTTCAACTGGTCAATAGGTGTTGCATTTGTCAGTTAACATCAGAAGCATCAACCACCTTTGCAACACACTTTTGGAACATGTTCCCTTTTAGGTATAAACTGGTCTATGCCCTTCAATATCAGAGATGCTTACACTAGTTGGAGCTGAATGGAAGTTGGAAATCCATCAGAAAAATCTGGATCATGACCCCAAAAGAAACAAGAAATTTTTCGGTGGAGTTTCAACTCCAATTTGTAAGCTTAAGGTTAGTTGTTTGGTTAACCTTATTAGCTGGGCTAACTCTTTCCCTGTAAATAACTTAGATCACTACTTGAATTTTGTCATCTACTTAGCTCTATAAGCGTTTTGTTCTTACTGAGCTGACAGATTGCCCTTTCGTATCCTTGCATCTACTGTATGCCTTAATGATATCTCACTTCATCAAAAAACAAAAATGTGTAATTACTAGATCAAGTGCGGAAATAGAATATATAGCTATGATCTAGGGTGTGTGAATTTTTGTAGTTAGAACAAGAGGAATTAAGATTGTGTGAAAAAGATAAGTTTTCTTGTTAATGAAAATAAGGTTGCAATCTGTATAGCTCATATTCCAGTCTAGTATGCCCGAACAATACATGTTGAAATCGATCGAAACTTCACCAAATATAAAGTTACGAGTTGTGTCTTGCGTTTGTTCCATGTGTCATTAGAAAAGCAACCAACTGATGTGTTTATCAAGGGTATCAACAATTGGACTTTCCATACACTAGTTTGCAATGGCTTTTAACATAGTTTGTTAATGTAGAGACTTTGTTGGCTTTTACAGCTTGTTAATATAGACACTTTTACAGAAGGGTAGCTTTAACAGTTTGTTAATATAGAGGACTTGGTTGACTTGTAACATAGTGAAGGAATGAAAAGAATGAAAGAGAGATAAGAAAAAAGAAAGAAGGTAGTTTTCTCTGCCGAAGAGAGGTGCCATGTCACCTTGAATGTAATGACCTCTATATATTATTAGCATGTTAAATTATAAAACATAAACCTAATGTAGAAACTTAGCTGAATTCACCTCTGCAAATCAAAAAACACGACACCATTGCACACACTGATCTGCAACCAAATCAGTAATAAAATGAAAAATAATGGAGAAAAATCACATGAATATTTTGGAATTTTGTACTATTCGCTGATCATGTATCATATGCATCTTGTCTATGGAGAATTTTTATTTCCTTCTTCTGAGAGGAGAGGATTTCTCTTTCCGTGTGTATTTCTGTCTTTATTAGTTGACATTTTGAAGCTTTTTTCCCCTTTCATTAATATTATGTTGACAAAAAAGAAAAAAAAAAAAAATTACATTTGTTGCACAATGCTTTGTAAAACTAATCTCAAAGATTCTAGCTGCTAGACTGCAAAAGGTCATATCTAGTATTATAAGTGATGCTCAAGATGTTTTATTCCTCAAAGGAAGATTGGTGACAGCATTATATTAGCTCATGAATTGGTGCATACTTATTCCAGGACATATATATCCCCAATATGCATGATTAACATAGACTTTCAAAATAGTGAATTAGATTTCCTAGACAATTTATTGGTTGGGTCCTTGAATGTGTGAAAATAGTGAATTATACTATTTTGGTTAATGGAGAATCATCGGCTAAGGCAAGGAGACACATAACTCCTTTTCTATTTGCCATAGCTCTGGAATATCTGAGCAAAAGTCTGAATCAGCTAACACAGGGCAAGGAGTTCCACTTTCATCCTAAATGCTCTAGAATGACGATAACACATCTATACTTTGCATATGACCTACTATTGTTCTCCAGAGGAGACTTACTTTCTGTCAAGGCATTTCAACACTGTTTCCAGAAATTCTCTTCAGCTTCTGAACTACAAGCTAACATTGGTAAGAGTTCATTATATTGTGAAGGAAATAATTAATCTGAGAGAGACAGAATGCTACAGTATCAGGGCTATTCCTATGGAGAACTACAAGTCAACCTTTTGGAGTTGTTCTTGAACCACAACAACTTGTACTGGAGGACTGAATCTTACAAATCTACTAGTTTGGAATCAAGAAGGTATAGGAAAAACTTGTTGGTACAATAGTCATAAACGTGGCAAATTATGGATCAAACGGATCCATGAGTATCATCTCAAAGATCAACCTTTTGAAGTTGTTCTTGTACCACAACAAGCTTGCTAGATGGCATGGTATTTGAAACAAGGACTAAACTAGCTCTTATAAGGAATGCTAATCAGACAGACATCTTACACATTGCTAGGTCATGCCCAACGTACCTTGGAAATGCCTTATGTTCAAGAACAGTGCAAGGCCCAAAGCAAAGTTCACCAAGTGGCTTCGACTTCAAGAGAAACTGATGACTGCTGATACATTGAGTAAGTAAGCATTTGGATAGAGAAAAATATGAAAATCTTTGAGCAGAAAAGCAGAGAACGGGGAAGTCTAGCCAGAGAAATTGCTATTGTTTGTTGTTTCATATATAAATAAATTAAAATTGAAAAAGATCTAACACAATAAAACTTCAATAGTCACTCCTTATACTGCTGATGAATAATCAAAATGCTCAAACATTGATCTGACCAAATTCAATATCTCCGACATAATCTGAAGTAAGAATAAAGAAAAATACACCTTGATATTACAGCCTATTTTAGAAAAACTAAGATAGGAACATTCAATTAAGAACATTCATACTAAATGAGTAGTATTTCATCATTTGGACAACTGAAAACTCCAAAGTGTTTGCACTTATCAAATCAAGAAGTTTATTGAACAACCATATACAAACAAATATCTTATTTTTGAGTAAAAAATATAAAAAATAAGATATTTGTTTGTATCTGTTTGTTATATAAACTTCTTGATTTGATAAGTGCAAACACTTCGGAGTTTTCATAAAATATCTTATGTGCATAAAATTTTAGATGAAAAACTCAATAAGTAAACCCATTCAAGATTAATCAAATCCCACAAAACAAACAAAACAAACTAAACATGAAGACATTATCACTACAAAGCAAGAATATTGGATAACAAAGATACAATTTTTTATTAAAGTAATTAGAGTATATTTCACGAATATTGAAAAATGTGTATTAGAGCTAACACAATATTGTAGCAGCAAAAAGATTATACAAAGCACTATAAAAAGATAAAATAAAAACAACAATCAGTGGAGTATGATTGGCGGCCTAAGTTCTGTTCTAGCTGTATGAAGTTTGGCCATGAGCTTCCTGCAAAGTTGGAACAAGACTGACGGGGGTGTGATGGAAGGGGAATTTCAGGAGAAGAAGAAACGAAAAAGAAGAAACAGGAGGAGGCCCCAGCCTCCTGTGTGGAAAGTAATGCAGGGTCAAGCTACCAAAGATGAGACAAGGATGGTCAAGACTAAAATTCCATTGGTAGAAGAGACACAGAATGAGGATGTATCAAATGAACCAGAACTAGTGGCATCATCTGGTTGCTTGATACGATCGAATATACCAGTCCTAAATAGCTTTCAAAGTCTAACCATGGAGGCATCCACAAGTACAGGCGACCCCATGGGTCTTCACCCACCATGAGATAAGTTACGTGGAATGTTAGAGGGCTGAATCAGCCCTTCAAACAGAAAGAGGTCAGGCTCTTTCGGAATAATAACAAGGTGGTTGTGGTGGGACTGATTGAAACTAGAGTAAAGGAAAACAAGGTTCCAAACAGTATAAATAAGTTAGGAGTTGACTGGATATCTTGTTGCAACTATCCAATGGGAAGGAATGGAAGAATCTGGTTACTGTGGAAGAATTCAGCTCAAATGCAAGTAGAGAAGCTAAGTGAGCAATTCATCCATTGTACACTCAGTGACAGTACAAGTGACTTTAAGAGTAAGCTCACTGTTGTGTATGCCAAGAATGACAGTCCTACGAGAGCTCAACTTTGGTTAGAGTTGATTGGGATAGGGAGACTAACTCATGAGTGTTGGATTATAGCAGGAGACTTCAACAATGTCCTCTCATCAGAAGATAGATTGGGATCCCCTGTGTTGCCAGGTGAAACTCAAGACTTCCAGGCCTGCATAGACACTTTGGAACTTACAGCACTAAAAGCCACAGGGTGCCATTATACTTTCTGTAATAAACAACAGGGTAGTAGCAGAGTTTACTCTAAAATAGATTGGGCATTTGGTAACTTCCCCTGGATGACAGCTTACAGTCATGTGGAGGCTGACTACCTAGGCTCTGGTATATCTGATCATTCCCCTATACTGATACAGGTCTGTCCCCACTCCCTCCTCCCCCTCCCCCCCTATTCAAATCCTAAGCCATTCAGGTTATTCAAAACAGTTCTCAATCATCCAGATTTTGGTAGGCTAGTTGATGAAGATTGGCAGAAGCAGGTTAGGGGAACAACAGTGGAACGATTGTGGCAAAACTGAAACACGTGAAGATTGGATTAAAGGATCTAAATACTTACATAGCATCTTATGGTCAGAAATTGGTGCAGGCAAGACGGGAATTAGAAATCACTCAGAGCAGCTTAGTTAAAAATCCTTTGTGTCCAAGGCTATTTGAAAAGGAGAAACACCTGTTGGGAGAAATTAGGAAATGGAGTGATGTTGAGACTCTAGTCTAGCAACACAAATCTAGAGTGAACTGGATAAAAAGTGGAGATGCTAATACAAAGTTTTTCATGCTCAGGTGAAGATCAGGGAAAGTAAAAATTATATTACTTCAGTGTATGATAATGCAGGTACAAAGGTGCATGATCCTCAGTTGGTGGAAGCTGAATTTATTAGATTCTACTCAGAACTAATGGGGGCTAGAGCTGAAAATCTACCAAGCCCTAATGCTGTTTTCATTAGAGAGGGGCCTTGCCTAACATATGAACAGAAATGTAGGCTAGTGATCCCTGTAACTGAAGAAGAGATCATGCTTACTATCAAGAGTATGCCTGTTGATAAGTCCCTGGGATTGATGGATTTCCATAGAATTTTTGGTGAAGAATGGACAATAGTCAAATCAGATGTGGTTAAGGCTATCCTGGAATTTTTCCACACGGGTAAAATGCTCAAAGCCTTTAGTTGTACTGCAGTTACTCTTATCCCTAAAGTCCCTACGCCTGTCCAGGTAAAAGACTGCAGACCTATAACTTGTTGCTCCACATTCTATAAGATCATTACAAAAATCTTAACGAACAAAATAAAGCTAGTGATTGACCATATTGTTAGTCCTGCACAGTCTGCTTTCATAGAGGGAATGAGTATTATAGATAATGTGCTCATCAGTCATGAAATCCTAAAGTGGTACACTAGGAAAGGGATATCTCCTCAATGTGTTATGAAGGTAGACCTAAGAAAGGCTTATGATTCCATAGAATGGTGCTTCTTAAAATCAGTCTTGGCAGAGTTGGGGTTTCTCTACTTATTCATAAAGTGGGTGATGGCATATGTTACCTCAGTATCATACTCCTTTTTGTTGTTTGGAGGACTCACAAGTCACAACACCCTTTGAGGGGAAGAAAGATATAAGGCAAGGGGACCCTATATCTCCTTACCTTTTTGTGCTTGCTATGGAATACCTCCAAAGAGAACTCACTCAATTGGATAAGAGAATTGAATTCCAGTACCATCCCAGGTGTAAAAGGATGGGTGTCACTCATGTTTTTTTTTTTTATGACCTACTGCTCTTCTGTAAGGCTGAGGTGTAGTCTATTCAGATGTTACATGATGCTTTCATCAGGTTTTCTTATGCTTCAGGGTTGCTAAGTTGGTTGTCGATGAAGACGTCCAAGATTCCATAACAGATGAGATAAGCACTTATAGGAGTGCTGATGGACTTTTTGGATTACAAACGGCTATTAGACAAAGAATGAAGAAGTCACCAGGTGAATGAGTGTTTTTATGTTTCATTCTAGCTTTAGCTTTTAAATTATTTCATTAGACTTGCTAAAATTTTGAGTTGTTCTACTTGAATAGTTGAATGGTGGAAGTTGTATGGATCAGAAACTCCTGAATTACAAAAGTTCGCCATCAAAGTTCTAAGTCTAACTTGTAGCTCATCGGGGTGTGAAAGAAATTGGAGTGTGTTTGAACATGTAAGATAGAGAAAGATTTATTATATTGAGATAACTAAGTTATCTTAATTATCTTATCTCTTACTAATTACCTGCCCTAATTTATTTGCAGCTTCATACCAAGAAAAGGAATAGACTAACCCTCGAGCGCCTCAATGACCTAGTGTTCATAAAATACAATAGAACATTGAGGCGTTGTTACAATGCTCGCAATGTGATTGATCCGATTCGTTTGGACAATATTGACGATGCCAATGAATGACTAACTGGAGTTGAGAGAAGAAATTTTTTAGGGAGATTCTGACTTCACTTGGGGTGTTGTTGGGGAGGCAAGTGGGGTTGAGGAGAACCGTTATGATTTAAGAGGAAATACTTCAAGCTCACATAGGAGGGGAAAAGGCTACAAGTTTATTCCTAGTGGATGAAGTTGAAAGAGATAGTGATGGATTTGAAGAAGATGATGAGCAGTATAATGATAATGGAGGAATACAAGATTTTGATAATCTTGTAGTAGAAGAATTGTAGAATTAAAAAAAATAGATGTTGAACCATGCATATAACTTTGATTTTGCTTGTGTTATGTTATATGGAGCATTTGTGATGTCTAATTTTTGGTTTTTAATTTGAAATTTTGGTTATATATATTGTCTTTATTTATTTTGGTCTCTTTTCTTTTAATTTACACTCCACTTCAATGAAGCGAGCGCTTCGCTTCATGTTTCGCTTAAGGCGTGAGGCAGGGCCTTATAGCTTTTTTCCGCTTCACGCTTCCCTGAACACTGGGTTGCAGGCAAACATAGATAAGAGTTGTATATATATGACTGGGATGGAGACAGGAAATCCTAGACTATCTTGGTTATCAAGAAGGTGAGTTAACCGTTTAAATATTTGGGGGTTCCTATATCCTCCAAGAAATTGACTGTGGCACAATGCTTACCAATAGTTGAAAAGATAACTGCAAAAATCAAGTGCAGGTCAACTAAGTTGTTGTCCTATGCTGGAAGGACCCAACTAACTAAATCAGTTATCTTTGGTATTCAAACATATTAGGGTAGGCCAGTGGTTTGGGACTTCCATGTTGGAGGTCTCAAGTTCGAAACTCCTTGCCAGCGAAAGCAAGGGGTTTGCCTTCTGGGTCGAGCTCGTCGCACTGGGCTTGCCTAGTGTGGGTTACCTCTCCTATGTGGTTTGCGAGCTATTGCATAGGAGCGGGGGTTTTACCCTGTGCGCACCCAAAGGGTAGCGGCTGCGGGTTTCCCTTGTCATCAAAAAAAAAAAAAACATATTGGGGCCAGATCTTTCTGTTGCC